TGTTGACACCTAACACAAGGGGTCGTGTTAACACCTAACACAAGGGGGGTCGTGTTGACACCTAATACAAGGGGGGTCGTGTTGACACCTAATACAAGGGGGGGGGTCGTGTTGACACCTAATACAAGGGGGGTCGTGTTGACACCTAATACAAGGGAGGGTCGTGTTGACACCTAACACAAGGGGGGTCGTGTTAACACCTAATACAAGGGAGGGTCGTGTTGACACCTAACACAAGGGGGGTCGTGTTGACACCTAATACAAGGGGGCGTATTAACACCTAATACAAGGGGTCGAGTTGACACCAAACACAAGGGGTCGTGTTGACACCTAACACAAGGGGGTCGTGTTGACACCTAATACAAGGGGGCGTATTAACACCTAACACAAGGGGTCGTGTTGACACCTAATACAAGGGGTCGTGTCAACACCTAATACAAGGGGGTCGTGTCAACACCTAACACAGGGGGTCGTGTCAACACCTAACACAGGGGTCGAGTTAGGGTTCCATGGCTCCATCATGCAGCCAGTTAGACCAGATTCGTATAATCAAGATGACATATTAGTCCAGGATCGAGAACGCTTTCATTCGCAAGCGACGGAAAACGTTTGCTAAATATGCGCCCAACGTGGGGCTCGAACCCACGACCCCGAGATTAAGAGTCTCGTGCTCTACCGACTGAGCTAGCCGGGCTTAGCAATGATGTTAAATATGTAGTTACTTAAAAATATTTAGTCAAAAGGTTGATTATATTTGGTACTCACCTAATTGTGCTTGCGGGGGTTGAGCTTTGGCTCTTTGGTCGATTGGTAAGTGAGGCTCTCAACCAAAAGCTCTTTGGTTGATTGGACAGTGGGGTTATCAGTACTCACATAGTTGTGTTTGTGGGGGTTGAGCCTTAGCTCTTTGGCCCCGCCTCTAAACTGTCAATCAACTAGTTTACAAATTCTTGAGCCCATTGGGCTCTATCAATTCAACATTTGAAACTGGGTATGGAGTCAGCCTCCACCACATCGCTGCTTAATGCATTCCATTTGTTAACTACTCTGACACTGAACAAATTCTTTCTAATGTCTTTGTGGCTCATTTGGGTATTAAGTTTCCAACTGTGTCCCCTTGTTCGCGTACCACCCGTGGTAAATGATTTGCCTTTTTCCACCCTGCCAATTCCCCTGAGAATTTTGTAGGTATTTATTATGTCTCCCCTTACTCTTCTGTTTTCCAGGGACGTGAGGCTCAGCTCCCTTAGCCTTTCCTCGTAGCTCATACCTCTCAAATTCCGGGACTAGTCTGGTGGCATACCTCTGAACCTTCGCTAACTTTGTCTTGTGTTTAACTAGGTATGGACTGCAGGCTGGAGCTGCATACTCCAGGATTGGTCTGACATAAGTGGTATACAGGGTCCTGAACGATTCCTTACACAAATTTCTAAAGGCAGTTCTTATGTTGGCCAATCTAGCATATACCTCTGATGATATCCTTTTGATGTGGGCTTCTGGGGACAGGTTTGGTGTGATATGAGCCCCGAAGTGAGGTCTACTTTTGAACCTGGCCTCATAGATGAGAGTGGTGGTGTTAGATGGTGAGTTGGTGTTGATTGTTTGTGTGGTGGTGTTGGTAGGTGTAGTGGTATTGCTAGGAAGTAATACCGGGTATACTGTTCTCTGTAACTACAATACTGTTCTTGTTTACTAAGGAGGTTTATGACACTTATAATTAAATTTATTCGTGTTATAGAGGTCTTGAGAGTTAATTGTATATATTATCTTATTAATACATATATTCATATATACACAGTATATATATTTATTTATTTTAAATAAATATTTGACCTTCGAGTGCCTTACTAATTAGCAACTGAAGAAACATCCTAACTAAATAATGACCCTACAGGAACTTTACAACCAATTAACTTTTTCCAATGAGGTTAATGGGGCACTCATTGTACGTTGGTACAGGCGTGACCTCTCTCTCTCTCTCTCTCTCTCTCTCTCTCTCTCTCTCTCTCTCTCTCTCTCTCTCTCTCTCTCTCTCTCTCTCTCTCTCTCCACATCCCGACACTATTCACTCATACACTCTACCTTTGGTGACCTCTGACCTCTCCTCCTCCTTCTCTCTCGTCCCTTCCCTCAATCGTGGTTGACCCCCCCCCCCACTTACCCTCTAGCACAAAGGTCGCTGAGTGGCGTTGTCAGACGGTCAGATCCCACGACCTTTGACCTCCAGAGCAACTTCCGTGTGCTTACTCATTTTTTTGGCACAGATTTTCCTGGACTGAACCATTTCCTGGTCACTGTTTCCTGTTATTCCTTTGAGGTTCATCAGTGTTACTCGACATCGACATGCTGACACCCCCCCCCCGATCGTGATATATTACCCCCGTGGTGGTGGTCGTGGTGTCTGTTGTCATTTATAGTAACACGATTCGTCCCACATTAGACCTCCCTCCCTCCCATGGCAGTGTTGGTAGGTGTGGTAGTAGTGGTAGGTGTGGTGCTGATGGTTGGTGTGGTGGTTGATGAAATACTAAATTCCCTGGCTAGTGGTATAAATTTTTACAAGTGCCTCGCTGTACTTGTAGAATATATATATATATATATATATATATATATATATATATATATATATATATATATATATATATATATATATATATATATATATATATATATATATATATATATAAAATATATATGTCGTAACTAGTAGCCAGAACGCACTTCTCGGCCTACTATGCAAGGCCCGATTTGCCTAATAGGCAGAGTGATTTTTCCTTTATTTTCAATAAATTTGTTCCAGTTAGTTTATTTGAATTATTATTACTATATTACATTATTAACATAAGTTATTGACTTAGTTGAGTTAGTTTAGGTTAGGTTAAGATGAGTTAGGTTAGGTTAGGTAGGGTTGGTTAGGTTCGGTCATATATCTACGTTAGTTTTAACTCAAATTTAAACAAATTATCTCATACGTAATGAAATGGATAGCGTTATCATTTCATAAGAAAAATATTAAAAAATATATAAATTCAGGAAAGCTTGGCTTATAAGGCAAATCGGGCCTTGCATAGTAGGCTGAGTACTGCGTATATATGAATCCTACTAGATAATTAAGGTTTATACTAGAATTAACAGTTATGGCAGGAATTTAGAGCAGCTAAAGGGATCTGTAATGCTGGTTTACGATGCATGGCAAAATTTGTAATTAGATGTGATGGTTGCCATATAACATAACAGTGACTTCATTAGTACGTGTAACTCCTGTCCCCTACACCTGTACATTACTCTCATGTACTTTGTACTCAAGTTTTTGAATAAAAATAATTATATTATATTATTATATTAATATTATACTATTATTATGTACCGTAATAAATGTCTGAGCATCCGAGACGCCCCGTGTCTCGGATTTCCTCATGCAGCAATGAGGAAATCGAGGTTAAAGGTGTTTTTCACTTTAACTGCATTACATGTAACAGCAAATTCAATAAGCCTCACACTAGAGTAAAGAGAAGTCTGGCTATATTGATCTTCCTTGAACTCCGGATGATAAGGGAGAGGAAAGAATTGTTGAGAATAAAGAGCAATCAACTGATGAAAAATTTATTTTCTGGAAGAGTAAGGTAAGTAGCAGGAGAAAGCAATAGGCAATTACGACTACATAGTACTTGGGAAGGAAAAATATTTAGGATAATGCAGACGAAGGGATTGGTGCTCAGCCACTTGGACAGTCGGGGATTGAACCTGCAAGAAGTCAGACCTTCGCTCTATCATTAGGGATCACATAGATTATGAATGCAAATGGGCATACAATTCAACTACCCATGAAATCAGATCAGCCAAAAGAAACTATGCAAGAAACATAAACATTAACAAAGATCCCAAGTTTTTGCTATGCCTTTATAAGAAGAAAAGCAAGACAGAAGTATTTATTGGACCTTTATAAGATGAGACAAACCAATTTATAATTGACGCTAAAAAGGCAGCCAACTTTGATGTCTGCAGCTTGCTCTAGTTATACATGACAGCTGGAGGAAACAGAGAAGCCCACGTCTCGTTCTTCTACAATTATAGTTTTCATATATATATATATATATATATATATATATATATATATATATATATATATATAATATATATATATATATATAATTATTAAAGACATGCATATATCTCTCTAAGGTGCACACGATGCTCTTATAAGTTACTATATGATGTTCCTGAAGTATATTATGCTCATTACACAAGTTATCCTTAGTTCATATTAACCAATTGTTTGGATTGTTATTCCTTATTTTAACTAGATTACAAACAAAAGGATGTACGGAGAATGAATTGTTACTTGACTTTTGCTGATGCGCTATGTAACAAAGTTTCCTTCCAGAACATTCTTGAACATTTCCGCAATATTTGTGTTTTGTACGTCAGCTAATCCCTGATTAGATTTTTTCGTTTTGTTTTATTAAAGTGAATCTTAGTATATATAGGAATATATTCCACGACGATGGCAACAGTGATGGAGATAGTGGGGTAGTGAAGACGGTTACAGTGATGGAGATAGTGGGTAGTGAAGACGGTTACAGTGATGGAAGAAAGTATATAGTAAAGATGCGGCGTCCGTCACCCGAGCACCGCCGGGTATCCCCCCCCCCTTCCTCTAATAGGGTTATAAACCCAAGGAACCAGCTCCCCGCCGAAGCCGTAAATGCCAAAGCTTCACTTCAAAATCCAGATGGAAAAAAAAAAAAAATTCAGTAAAAAAATGTGTGACCATTTTTGAGAAGCCACCAGCTTCCCATCCTCGTAGAGGCCACTAGGAAAACAGGTAAATTCAGGTAAATTCCTATATTTTGCACACTCAGACTGCCGGAATCTGAGATCATCCCATAAATCCCAATTTTCAACATCCAAAGAATCCCACTTTCCTCCCTGAACCTCACATTCCTGTGTTTACAACTTGTTCTAAGTTATTTGAATAAACTGTGCGTCTCCTCCCGCAGACAGGACTGCATCAGCGGCAGCAGTGGGCTGCGGCACCGTGGCCTCTCCATCCGCAGGCGGCTGAGCGAGGCTTACGGCATGGTGGCGCCAAATGTCCGCAGGCCGTCCATCCGCACCGACCTGCTCATCCTGCGAGCCAAGACCAGCCTCCACCTCAATGGCATCGACACCTTCTCGGAGAAGAAGCCCCGACGTGAGGTGTCCTGTGTTATCCAGTGAGGTGCTAGCGAGGGGCGCTGTTAGCATGCCCTCCACGGAGGCGTTATACGATGTCTCGGAAAGTGCTTGCATGTTCAACATTGAGGCGCTTTGATGTCCTCCATCAAAGTGTTTGCAGGTCCCACGGAAGCACTTGCCTTTTCTCCAGGGAAGCGCTTCGATGCTCCGTGTACTCACTTGGGTGCTCCAGGAAGGCACTTGGATGTCCCTTGGTAGGAACATTGGAGGTCCCGTGTAGGCTCATTCTGGAGGTGGTACTTGCACCATTTTAAAAGGCATTGGGATCATCTGATATGGTCTTGAACTGTCTTCAAGTTCTTGAGCATTGTCCTGGGAGCCAGTAAGATCGACCTCTAACCTGCACAAAGCCGCCCTGGCTGATGGATGACCTTCATGAAATATTGGGGGTGAAAAACAGCTAAATTTATCTGATTGAGATTAATATATATAGAAAAAACTTGTGTTTGGTGTAGAACAAAAAACAACAATGCTCAGCAAAGAAAATGTATTTATTAATATAACAGCCATTGATGGCTTACTGAACACCCCCAAGTGAACGGTAGAGTAAAGTGATTACAAAAAAAGGCTCAATAGGTCGTTAATCAAATTAGATAAATAGGTAATATTTATCAAGAAATCAACCAAAGACACTGTTTTCCTGTCGCAGTAAGACTGACGAGTATGATGTTATTTATTGCATTCAAACCTTTTAGGTGTGATGTCAAGATTTATTATATAATAATAATATATGACTGAATAAGCCTGGCTGGCTAGGCTCTAAGAGTTATTTTCTTATATCATATTACATATATAATGCATATAATTATATATATATATATATATATTATATTATATATATATGCGAAGAAGCTTGAATGGTCCCCAAGCCAATATGCAATAGAAAACTCTTCACCCCAGAAGGATTCGAACCCAGACAGTCAGGGGCTCCATGAACCTTAGCGTGTCCAGTACTTTCACCACTAGGCCACAACGACTGTTAAAAGTACTGGACACGTTAAGTTGCATGGAGCCTGGGGATGAGGAGTTTTCTGTTGCATATTGGCTTGGGGACCGGTATATATATATATATATATATATATATATATATATATATATATATATAACTGAAAACTCACACCCCAGAAGTGACTCGAACCCATACTCCCACAACTGGTATGTACAGGGACGCCTTAATCCGCTTGACCATCACGACCGGACATAAGGAAGTGATAGCCGAGGCTATATGAACCACTTCCCCGCCGGCACTCGGATGGTAATCTTGGGCATAGCATTTTATCAAATCACCTCATTCTTTGGGGCACACGTGAGGAACACAAATGCAAACAAGCCTGAATGGTCCCCAGGACTATATACAACTGAAAACTCACACCCCAGAAGTGACTCGAACCCATACTCCCACAACTGGTATGTACAGGGACGCCTTAAGTACAGTACAGGGACTCCCACCAGTTGTGGGAGTATGGGTTCGAGTCACTTCTGGGGTGTGAGTTTTCAGTTGTATATAGTCCTGGGGACCATTCAGGCTTGTTTGCATTTGTGTTCCTCACGTGTGCCCCAAAGAATGAGGTGATTTGATAAAATGCTATGCCCAAGATTACCATCCGAGTGCCGGCGGGGAAGTGGTTCATATAGCCTCGGCTATCACTTCCTTATGTCCGGTCGTGATGGTCAAGCGGATTAAGGCGTCCCTGTACATACCAGTTGTGGGAGTATGGGTTCGAGTCACTTCTGGGGTGTGAGTTTTCAGTTGTATATAGTCCTGGGGACCATTCAGGCTTGTTTGCATATATATATATATATATATATATATATATATATATATATATATATATATATATATATATATATATATATATATATATATATATATATATATATATATATATATACACAAAGGAATTATGCCTGAGCGCTTCTGAATACACGTGTGTCCATTGTCAAAGACTGAATGGGACTCATAGGCAGGAGAAATATATATATATGGCTCAGAAAGTGAGCCAGGAAACAGGTAGGCGCTGGGATCAGAGAATGGCCATGAAACCGGTCAATAATTCATGCAAATACAAGAAGTATTTGAAGGAGCAAATACAATACAAGGAAGAATACAAGGAGCCGTTCCAGTCAGAAGTAGGACGGGGAAAGAAAATATAGAAATAAATATTACGAAAGTACTACAAGTGAAAAAAAGGTTGTTAGAATTACCTCTATTAACAATTACTCAAATTTATAAAGGAGGAAACATCTCAATTATTTTCCTGAAACGAAAACAGCCACAGAGATCAACATAGAAAAGTAATAAAATCTACAGGTAAGTTCAAGTATTTTAAATCTTAACTTATAGAAAACTAACTAGTGATGGTGATAAATATGCGCTCAGACATAATACTTTAATCTTTTTTGCTCATTACATACATATATATATATATATATATATATATATATATATATATATATATATATATATATATATATATATATATATATATATATATGCAAACAAGCCTGAATGGTCCCCAGGACTATATACAACTGAAAACTCATATATATATATATATATATATATATATATATATATATATATATATATATATATATATGTCGTACCTAGTAGCCAGAACGCACTTCTCAGCCTACTATGCAAGGCCCGATTTGCCTAATAAGCAAAGTTTTCCTAAATTAATATATTTTCTCTATTTTTTTTCTTATGAAATGATAAAGCTACCCATTTCATTATGTATGAGGTAAAATTGTTTTTATTGGAGTTAAAATTAACGTAGATATATGACCGAACCTAACCGACCCTACCTAACCTAACCTAACCTATCTTTATAGGTTAGGTTAGGTTAGGTAGCCGAAAAAGTTAGGTTAGGTTAGGTTAGGTAGGTTAGGTAGTCGAAAAAACATTAGTTCAAGAAAACTTGGCTTATTAGGCAAATCGGGCCTTGCATAGTAGGCTGAGAAGTGCGTTCTGGCTACTAGGTACGACATATATATATATATATATATATATATATATATATATATATATATATATATATATATAATATATATATATATATATATATATATATATATATATATATATATATATATATATATATATATATATATATATATATATATATATATATATATATATATATATATATATATATATATATATATATATATATATATATATATATATATATATATATATATATATATATATATATATAATATATATATATATATATATATATATATATATATATATATATATATATATAATATATATATATATATATATATATATATATATATATATATATATATATATATATATATATATATATATATATATATATATATATATATATATATATATATATATATATATATATATATATATATATATATATATATATATATATATATATATATATATATATATATATATATATATATATATATATATATATATATATATATATATATATATATATATATATATATATATATATATATATATATATATATATATATATATATATATATATATATATATATATATATATATATTATAAAATGTGTGTGTGTGTGTGTGTATGTGACACTGATATCCTGTGTCAAGGCATTTTTTTATTTTTGTTTACTTCAAGGTTGTGGAAGTCTGTTTTGAAAACGAGTAATCAAAGTTGCTCGATTTGTTTCAGTAAGTATATATTTATGGAACAGTTAAAAAGTTATTACCACCACAACACTTAGCAATACTCAAAGAAACATCACTGCACTTGCTGATATTCATAAGAAGAAGTACACACCAATACTCACATTAAAATCACTATATCAGCCAATGCTCACTTTATCAATAATCACTTTAATAACATTTATTTTTATTGATGTATCAATAAACGTTTAACAAGAGAATATTCACGTTTGAGTTGATCACTCAAGTGGACAGCGATCGAATTGATCACATTTTACTCCAGACATCTTAGCTATTGATGATTTATTAACTTTCTTTACGTCATGGTGAATCCCTATTAAACGCTAATATTTTAAATTCTACATTATCCTGGCGAGATGGAGAGATGTAATTCATCTAGAAAAGTGGTGGGACTCATCTTTAGAAAAAAATAAAGCAGAGATGTGTCCATAAAAGCAGCTTTTTAGTTGAAGTCCTGTGCGCTTAGGAATTACTTTGCAACACACATGTATTTAAAATGTATATCTCTCAATGGCTGCCATCGGTGGTTAGGTTCAATGTTCAAATGTATTAGTTTTAAAAGATTTAACTTAAACCATGAAATAAATTGCTAATTTAATCCAAATTACTTATACTTCATGCAAGAAATAGGACTCCAAACATGTAAAATTTCCCTAAATATACTAAATTTAGCTTATTTTTTCTAGCAATAAAGCGTTATCACACCGAGGCGCGCCTTCCTAACTGGCTCTTTACCTACTCTAACTAACCTATGATAGCATATGACCTTGTTAACCTAACTTTAACCTCACCAAAATTTATCTTAGTTCCTAACCTTACTCATCCAGAAAGTCCAACTCCCCCAGTCCAACTTACTCATCCAGTTTGTCCTTCCAGGGCAAACTGGAAAGACCAAACCACAATTTTTTCAATTTGGTCATATTGCTTTGCCTGGAAAAACATTTATCATATTTTTTTAGAAGTATTTAGATAATTTATCATATGTTTGAGAAACATGAAGATAATTTATGGGTCTTGAAGCTTCAACTGAAGCCAAGTCCAGGTTTTCACCCATTGCCTACGGGGGGGGGGGGGTAGGCAATGGGGGGGGGGGGCACCCCCATTCACTCTGGGCGTGGTCGAGGAGTCCACCTCAAGGGGGGTAGAAATAGCCTAAGCTACTCTATCTCCTTGAGATGTATTTCTTTCTTGTCTCAATAAACATACTTGAACTTGAACTTGAGTCCACCTCCGGCGCTTCACTTCAAATGCACAAAGAAATCTCATTAACGTGATGCGTCAATGAGGATTATCAGTAGGAAAAAGACAATTTATTATATGTTTGAGATACGTGAAAATAATTTGTCAAATGTTTAAAAACATTAAAATTAGTTATCATATAAATGGAAAAATTTCAAGATTACTTACCATATGTTTGAAAAAGAAATCTACGATAATTTATCGTGGGTTTGACTTCTACCTTTAGTGTCACTGTCCAGCGCATTGTTGAAGAGCAGGCATGTTTTTTTCATGAAAAATTACTTAAAAACAGCCGAAATGTGAAGCGTAACATAACTTAAGGATAGATAAAGGCCCATGTCGTGTGCTGCTCTGTCTAGATACGGACCCATTGGGCACTTGCCATATATGCATAGAGGATATAAAACATACATCTGTATCCTTTATGTACTATTTCCTATGGGCATGTATCCATGATGTTCTTAATTCTTACATTATTAATAGTTTTATAATTAAGACAATTTTTGATTTTCAATAGCTGGACGTTCTCTGTTATGATCCGCTCTCAATCATACGTAGAACATTATTACATGTATATTTTCAACCTCGATTTGTACCTATAATAACAGACACATAATAACGACGTATAATGTAACCTTGTCATTAAAAAAAGACCTAGCATAGAAACCATGACCTAGCGTAACATATCCGGATATTTTTGAAAAGTGAAGTTAGGTGTTAGAGGCGACTTGTCCTAATACCGATTGATTGATTGATGAAGATTAAGCCACCCAAAAGGTGGCACGGGCATGAATAGCCCGTAAGTGGTGGCCCTTTTGAGTCATTACCAGTATCAAGAGCTAATACTGGAGATCTGTGGAAGTGCGACTGCACCCTGCGTGACGGGAGATGTCTCCCGTGGTCCTAATACCGATTTGATTGATGAAGATTAAGCCACCCAAGAGGTGGCACGGGCATGAATAGCCCGTAAGACCAACTACCTAATAAACCAGCATTTTATATCTGGATAGATTACGGGCTATTCATGCCCGTGCCACCTCTTGGGTGACTAAATCTTCATCAATCAAACATCTGGATAGACAGAATCATCGAAATTACAGTCATGATTGCGCCTTTCCTG